TGATTATATATAATATATATATGATTATATATATAATATGTGATTATTATGATTATATATATATGATTATATGATATACATACATATTATATACAGTAGATCCCAACATACTCATTAATTTCATACCCGTCTCACCATAAAATAATCATTATCATCAACCAACCATCATTCAACATTCGTACATCGTCCACTTCTTGGGTCCCAAGAGGGGTCCCAAGAGGGGTCTGGGTCCCGCACCACCAGGGTGATATAGATGCAGCAATAGAGTCCCCACAATCTCGGATTTTCGATGGCCACCTGTTGGGGTCGTCGTTTTTCACAAAACCGAAACTGTTTTTTTGAGATGTCGGGAGGTGATGAATGGTAAAAATCAAGGGTGATTAATGATTCATGGTAATGGTATACTAATGGTGAATAGAATATTAATGGTATATACGGTATATGAATGGGATATATTAATGGTCAATAATGGGTACTAATGGTTAACAACGGTTAACAACGGTTAATAAACAAAATATAATGAGGCCTGCATGTTCCAACCAAGACGTTCTTGCAAAAACTGTCAAGTGACCTAGGTTGCTATGGTTTATGGTCATCCATCCCATGCCATGGGAATCCAAACATAATGGGTAGACAAATCCCTATGAAAATGGATTGATGATCATCCCCCTTTATGGGACAATAAACCATGTTTATTAATGTTTTGACAATGGCACAAATGATTTTATCTAAAGAACATGATGACTATCCAGCCACCTTTTCAAAAAAGCCATAGAAAGTATCTTGAACATCACAAGTTTCCAGACCTCACGTTGAGAAAAAAATGTTTGTCATTTGGTTTAGATTCTGGCACTGCCCATGCTGCTCTGATGAAGGACTGCTTCATGCAAGAAACCCCCTACTGAAGCAGCCTAAGTAGAGACACTAAGAGCTTGTTTCTGTTTATCCAAGAAAGTTATACCTTATCATTTCAACCAGTATATTATATATTAATATAGCAGTCCTTTGCAGCTGAATCTCGGGTTGGTCGATCTGAGTCGCCAGGCATATTTCTGAAAATAGACGGTGGGCACCTAAGAACGCCGGGCGTGAAATACGCTGGGGCCGCTGGGTGGTGTTTGGCACTCCTGGCATCAGAAATCACTCAAATGTCAAAGGTCGCTAGAGGGGGAACACATGTAAAAACATGTGGGGTGGCTACAAGTAACCTATCTATATATTGAAAGCCATATAGGCTGTCGTTGATATCTCATTCACCGGAAATGGTCACCGCTGACTGACTGGATCCAATTCGATACCACCATATTAAATACAAACATGTCCAAGAGAAACAGTAAAGATCGGTCAAGAATCATTCAGTTACCATCAAATATGTTCTCTTTAACCAATCCAATGAATCATTGCTGTGGATTGCTTCTTCTGCTTTTTTCATTGGATTGGTTCTTCGCACTCAGCGGTAAATATGCTGCAATTATTGCAGGCAGTATCCCCCCCAACCAGCGACCGCTGATCCTGACCCATCCTGACCTCAGGAACTTACCCACTGCTTTAGCTCCTCAAGATCATTTCAGAGGGATATGAAAGGATATCAACATCAATAGCCACAAGAAACCTGGATTTCCCCACGGATTTTGCCATGGCCATCTTCAATTCGAGGGCAAAGATGCCCCAAAACCCACTCCGACCCATTCCGCCCATCTGGGTCTCCATGACAGTGAACCCCCGCATCGGCACTTTTCCGCGCAGGCGCGGGCAAAACGCCGCGCCGCGCTGTTTTGTTGAGAAAAAACAGCATCAGGTTGGCTTAGTTGGATTAGTTAGTTGGTTCAACTATGTTTAACTTACATATAGCTATGGAAAACCATGGAAAATCACCATTGTTAAATATTCTTTAAAAGGTAAAATCAGTTATAACTGGCCATTTTCAATAGCTTTGTTGGATCACCAGAAGTTCGCTAGTTGTGGACCTGTCGATGAAGCCCATGTCAACCCTGGTCATGTCCAGCGGGAATCAACATTAGCCCTTGGTCACACCCTGCAAAGATAAAAACCACTGGTAAAACCGTGCATCTCCAACTGTAGCAAACTAAAAACTGATGTTCATTTAATTGCTATGTATTGCTATGGATCTCTTTGTTTTGAACAAAAAAAACATCCCTGGCTGGTCTCCCAAGCAATTTCGGCTCACGATTTCTTTTTTGCGCGGGCATCATGATTTATTGACAACACCGAGCAATGCTCAGGGCGCGCGTTGTGATTTCTGGTTGCAATGGCGGTCGGGCTGCCAACTGTGCAGTCCATAACAAACAAGTTGGAAATTCAAGAACTTCCAAAAAGATCCAGTTTGAATTGGCCCTTGGGATTCGTTGGGTCTATGAATAACCTTAGATACCCTGCAAAAAATGTTGGGTTTTATGCGGTCAGTATGTACTGTAAATATATTCCCAATTAAGGATAATTAAGGTGTACTAAACTATCCATCCAAGACTGACCCAGGGTCGTTTTACTACGGGGAAATATTTCATCATACTGTACCCTGAAAGTCAGTCGAATGACTCACTTTGCCACCCTTTTTGAAGTCATAAGTCGTAATCACAATTAAAACCACAAGTAATTCATGAGTCATTTTAATAATTCATGAGTCTTACAAACAATTGAACCACAGGTAATTCATGAGTCATTTTAATGTTCTGGTATGTTTGAAAGCATGAATTTTCAGGGCGCTAAGAGCAAACCCCTTCGAGACATTGACTGGGTCAACAAAAGGGTATCTCCCCAGTTGTAAGCTGGCCTATAGATCCTATTAGATCCGTCATAGCCCCATCCAATAACTATATATATATATATATATCATTATATATATATATCCACCAAAAACCCCACTTAGTCTAGCTATAAACCAGTTTCACTATCCAGGGAACGCCCTCTTCTTGGTGTCGAATTCTGAACGGCCCATGGTCAGGCTAACCATGCTGATTTTCTGCTATCTGGTGAGCCAATACTGAATCATACTGAATCAATTTTGCAAATTTTCAGCTGCAAATTTTCCAACAAAACTTGAATCAATTATATATTTTTTTGGGTTGATTTACCACAGCAATGAAAAATCCAATCTGGGGGCTAATTTTTTCACATATATGAGCCTTGAAGGTTCTTAAACATGTTCTCTAGAGGTCCCAGCTGGTTTTCTGGCAGCCCAACCGGCTTGTCTCATCAACCTCATTCGGATTTCCGGCGCAACACCGCCATTAGAGGGCCCCCATTCCCGATCCGGGGGAGCTGTACAGGTGGTGCTGCTACCTCGAAAACACCAACAGGCACTGCTCAGCATGCGGTTGTGGGAACCAGCTGATCCAGGGAAATGGTAGAATCTTTTCCCTGATCTGTTCAGAAATGGAGGTTTCCTGAAATGGTGTTACCCCCAGATCATCCATTTATAATCATTTATAGATGGATTTTCCATGAAATAATAAACCATCCAGCTATTGGGGTACCATTTATGGAAACCGCCATATCTGTTCCGAAAAAGATGGCATGATTGCCTCCAGATTCAACCTGTGGATGCCTGTGCTTTGGCGACCAAGTCAGGCCCAGGGAGCTGTCTGTTGGTGCTGTCGTCTCCCACAGTGGGCCGCGTTTTTTTTGGCTCGACTCGACTGGTAGCTGTGGACAGCTGGGCCAGGATCCACCCCATGACATCCCACTTGATGATGTTACCAAGCAACCTCCAAATATTGGGTGCAGTAACGATACGTTTCGGTTGGTTCATAACCAATATAAGTCGTGGATTCATGATGAATTGATATCTACATACATCTTTTCATGACGTAGACTAAGCCACAAACATCATTTTTTGCAGAGCTCTTCCTGCAACAATAGCCCCATATATAATCGTTCAATATGTTTGCTGGTGACGTTGTGAAGTCGTTCTGCAATGTACATCCCAGTTGGCATCTGGATGATAGCCACCGATCCACAGTTACCCCCTGAACGCGACCCACCATCCCTCCTAGTCCTACGCTGACCGACTGCTATGTACTCAGGTGATGGCAAGGTGCCATTTTCCCCATGGGTTTGGCTGAAAGTGGTGCCCCAACATGGTTTTTCACTGGGAAATAGTGTCAAGCTCATATTACTAAGCAGCCCAAATTAATCAACACCCACATTCCAAAAAATGTTTGGCAATACTACTTTGGGTTGGTCCCTCCCTATTAATAAACATGTGCGACCTCCCTATTAAACAACACCCTGCGCAGAAATCCTATATAATTCGTTTGGTGGTGAGAAAGTGATTTGGTTCTGATGTTTCTGACCTGATGGTTCTGGTGCTGGCTGATACAAATTGCTAATCATGCTGCTCATGGGTGCTGCTAATTCTTTCTCTTTACCCCCTGTCCCATTCAACTCATTGCTGCATTTTTTCCAGCACAAAGCTGCTTGTCTGATCAAAAGCTTGCAAATGCACACTCATCTCACAGAATCCCCAAAATCTAGGAAAATCCCAAAAGTTCTGCTTGAAAAAAGAAACATTTTCCTTATTAGCCTTATTACTTTCTTATTAAAAAAACGTATTTGAGAAGCTCATATACCCCCTTTAGGTGGGGTGCCCCCCCAAATAATGCGCACGCGCACCCCCAATTAAAGAACACACTCAGCCCCCCTAGCCTCATACTGCTGATTCTTTCTATGAATCCCATGTTTGGTTTTGCTGTTCATTATTCAGGGTGACAAGCTTCTCATGAATGTAGACCTTTTCGGGGGTTATTAATACGAACTTGGCATTATGAAATAATGGTCATAGACCATCGGAATTGGGATGCCCTAGTTTCAACACTGCTTTTCGTGATCCTTCCACCGCAAAACTAAAGTGAACATTTTGAACGACATCTTCCGCGACGTCCTTGTGAAGTCGGATGTGAAGTCGGGTGATCGTTTACCCGACATGTCCACAACATAGCAATGTTCTCCCTTTATTCAAAAGTGGAATCCCCAGTTCTTGTCCCAGATCAACAGCACCAAACGTGGCAAGCTTCGCGTTTAGCCAACAATCAAGTGGAAGCACCAGATTCTCCCATGTCCATGGCACAAATCTGCCACACCTCACAGCAGATCTTTTGTTCAATGCCGTCCTAAGCGGTTTTTTGGCCAAGATTGGAGTGCGGATTTCCTGGAGTTTTCTGACAACCGGTGTTCCCCGAAACCAGAATACTTTCTTCGAGTTGATCCTCACCCTGAACCACTATTCTGACATAGTTTCTGACATACCATCTGGAGTTTTGTATGGCATATATATTCTGACATTCTATTTGACATTCTTTCTGGCATTCTCTCTGACATCTTCTCTGTTCGGGTCCAGGTGCAGCCCCTTTTCTTCCGGAGCTCGCAATTTTTTTTAAATCTAGAGACTCTCACCTGGCAGGGAAAAAAACGATTCCATCATGTTCCATTAGTAATGACTATTGGGTTAATAATGGTTACTAACATATAGTATCCACCATTATTAACCCAATAGTATTATACCTACCAAGATGATCTGACATCATTTTCAAAAAAAAAGATGTTGTCTCCCTTATGGCGGTAACTGATCATGCTAGGCAACCTTTTTTAAAAGCTCCATTTGGGACTGTGAAACACCGTGCTGAAACAGCGGTTGGACCCTGGGCCCCACACCGTTGGACAGCTGTTTCAAAGCACCCTGGCCGGGCAAGTTTGGCAGCTTTAGTTCGGAATTGGACCATCTATGGACCATCTTAATTAACACAAGCTCGTAGGATTTTCATATTCTGGATTTTACAATGTCTGGTGTCAGACTGCCTGACAATGATCTGCTCTGAAATACACATTTGCCTTTCAAGCAACGAGGTCAAATAGTAGCAAGGCCTAAGCATTACACATGTATCCTTGGCCCCATGCAAATTCAGCCCCCGTAAGTTCTCAAGAATAGAGAAGATAGAGAAGGCAGAACGGAATGCCGCTCAAGTTCGTGTACAGTTTTGATGCCAAAACGGGGCTGAAGAAAATCGAGCATCTTCCTTGATCTTTGGTGGACTAAAAAAAACCAGCCACTCGTGGTCCCAAACCCACAAAAATGATTCGTTCAAAGCTAGAAAAATGCACACAGAACCAGAGAGAACCATGGGATATGTGGGCCCCACGTACTTGTAGTACCCTCTAGTAAACTAACATAACTATGGAAAATCACCATTTTAATGGGAAAACTCACTATAAATGACCATTTTCAATAGCTATGTTAGTTTACCAGAGGGTACCTGTCATGAATCTTTTTTTTTCCCAACCACGAATTCACTGGGACCACCCCAGTTAGATGAGTGTGTCGGTAGTACAGCAACAAATGGCTAATCTTACGGTAGATCCGCTGGAAGCAAGATTGCTTAACTGATTACCTGATGAGTCTAAGATCTAAACTGGTTGGTGGTTGACCAACCCCTCTGAAAAATGATTGAGTTCGTCAGTTGGGATGATGACATTCCCAAGTGAATGGAAAGTCATAATCCAGCCATGTTCCAGTCACCACCAACCAGTAAATTATGAACCGACCACAAAGGTGAATTCTTCCGCCTTTCAGTTGGTTGATATTCAAACTTTCCATAAACTGCTTGAAGCTGATCATGTGTCAAACCCAAATACCCTCTGGTAAACTAACAGTTTGCTATTGAAAATGGCCATAGAAATAGTGGATTTTCCCATGAAAAATGGTGATTTTCCATAGTTCTGTTGGTTTACCAATGGGTAGATCGTGTTCCCAACACGGTTCATTGACCGACAGGACGACCCGCCTTCCCACCGGTTGCGGTCCGACCGTTAAGGGCACCTCAAGCATCCCATGGAATCCCGAATGCCGAACTTCAGGGAGAAGTACCATGTCATTCCATTTCAGATATAATATATATTTATATAATAATATATATAATATATATAATATATTTATATAATATATATTATTATATATATTATTATATATATTATTATATATATATATTACATTTTACTATCTTCCGGTAATCAAACCTGGAAATTGGAATCCCCTTATAATCAGAGGTTTAATTGGAATATCTACAAATGGAAGATAGTCCATTGCCACGTTTGATTGGCGTTTCGGGTACGCGTTTGGGGATGTGAAGGTGACATAATGGGGGATTGGATGGGATGTAAAATGATGATGAACCTTGGGTAACCATCAATTTTTGGTTAACCATTGGAAAATGATTATGATACCATTGATTAACATAGGATAGGATTTTTGGAGTATCTGGTATCCTGTTTTCCTATGTTTTCCTATGTTATCCTATGACAACCCCAAATATGAAAGATACGCAAGGAAACCTTGGGGAACGTGCTGGATCGGGGAGTATTTCATGCAACCATCAAACATGGCTGCTTCACCGAGAGAAATTGGAAATTCACTCTGGGGTAGACTAACGATGTGGACTGGTTGGTGGTTTCAATTCCTCTGAAAAATATGAGTTGGGATGATGACATTCCCAATATGATGGGAAAGTCATAAAATTCCATGGTTCCAGTCACCACCAAGCAGTTAATTTACCATTAATCACCATGATTACTCACCATTAATCACCATTAAACCATAGCAAAAACCATGTTAAACCAAAAAATCAGCAGTGGAAAGTCCCATGGCTTTCCCAGAAATTGATCTGCTATAAATATCAGTGGCATCCACACATAAAAAGGGCCTTTTTAAGTGGCTTTAGTTTAGAGGCTAAGCCATCCAATACGGTGATCCAGTGATCAAACTTTACGACTGTGGGTTAAGATCCACCATATTTTATAGCTGGGTAAATCCAAGAACTATGGCCATGTTATAGCTGGGTAAATCCACTATATAAATGGCCATGTTCAATAGCAAACTGTTAGTTTACCAGAGGGTATATGTTTTTCATTGTTGTTCATCACCCACAAGAATCAACCAAGATTTTGAATGCTATGCGAAGTTCATCATCATCACAAATGCCTGCGGAACAAACCATGGAAGTGAGAAATCTCTGTAGAAATCCTAGAACGGGTCAGTTTCCACTTCCGGCTCGGCGTACCAGCAACATTTTCTTGGGTTGTTGAACAAAGAATTTGAATGGGGACATGCGGATTTGTCCCTTAACTGGCTAATTACCCACTAAGACGGTGTTTATCATCAGTCTTGCGTAATTACATCATTTTTTGGACACACTCATGCATGTCCAACCGGAACCAATACGTGAGGTTGATGTATGAAAAAAACTTTGAAAAACAAACAAACACGATTCAGAAAGCTTATAAATAAACATTGAAAAACAATCACAAAGCATGGTAAATGAATGGTAAATGAATGGTAAATGAATGGTAAATGAATGGTAAATGAATGGTAAATGAATGGTAAATGAATGGTAAATGGTAAATGTTCCCCATCTTTCATACTTTTTCATCCTTGGTTTTATCATCACCATCCCTTTGTTCCATCCCATCCTCATCCCTCCGGACCTTGGGCTGCAAACCTGGCTTTCCAGTGATTTGTCATGCCATCTACCCTCTGGTAAACATACAAAAACTATGGAAAATCACCATTTTTCATGGGAAAATCCACTATTTCTATGGCCATTTTCTATGTCGCTATGCAACAAATTACCAGAGGGTACCACTATAGATGATTTAAATTACCGAAGTCTATCATCTCTTTTTTGAGCTTCGAAAAAAACATCGCTGCACATCGCAAATGATGACTTGCTGGATATCGCTTGCATTTTTTCGCTTCTTGAACATGAACATGGCAATACAATTCATAGTTTCACAACCTGGCTGAAAATGGCTGAAAAACCAACCGTCAGTTTCGTGATGATGCACCTCCAGGGGGCCCTTTTTGGCATCCAACATCTCCAATCCCGGGATAGGGACTGAGACCAAATTTTCATCGGCGAATGGTCAACTCTCATGTTCGTTCGGCAAGACGGAAACCAGCACGAAAGCAACTTCGTCAGCTTGCGCGTCAGCGCTTTTTGCGCAAGCACAAAGGACCCACATGATTGACCTCAGCTGTATGCCAGTATCGTTTTGTTTTGGATAGTGCAGAATATAATTATAACATAACATATATATATAGGATAAATGATTGATACTTGATACTAATCCATCTGATATTCTCCACCAACAGATGGAATAATATGGAATGATATAATAATAAGGATCATCATAATAATAATAGATTCGATATTTTTTTGGATAGTGGAGATTATTCCATCTCGCTGAATTGCAATATAGTGGGATGATTCCGTATAATTAAACCGTTCCAGTGACGTCACGATGTGAGGTGAAAACAATTTACGATACCACTCTTAGATGGGCCATGGGATTAGCGAGCAAACTGGTTAGTGGCTGTGGCTTATCACGTACAAAAAATCCCAAGGAATGCAGTCAAAACAATGATAAACAAACGATTTGGAAATGGTTTATAGCATGTATAGTGATTTCGGGGATGGTTCATTATTGTTTTACTCACATTATAATCCATTTGCTAACTAGTTAGCTAAGTCCATGGCCCATCAAAGTCATCCTTTTTTCATGAATCCAGCGACATCCCTCACACCGTCTGACCTGGATAGTAGGCTGCTGTTCGCTGCTCCTGCCACCCCGCATCAACCCATAGGGCTTGAAATGGCTGCGATGTTGGACCCCCTGGTAATTGAAGATTGCTATCGAACATAGCCCATAGAAATAGATGATTCACCTATTAACCTATTAATTGATGATTTTCCATAGCTACTTGTATGTTAAATTACCAGAGGGTACGGGAAAACGTTCGTACTCTTGAAATGTCCAAAACCACATTGCAGTGCATGTAAAATGGCCAGGATATTGGGACATACATACATATATATATATATATATTGTAATATATATCATATCATATATCATATACATATCATATTATACATGATATATGATACATGATGTATGATATATGATATATTATGTATTATGTATTATATATTATCATAGCAAATATATATCATAGATTATAAATTATACTTTAAATATCATAGATTAGCCCTCACTGCTGGGACCTGAAGGGATGTAATACGGGGTCGTAGCTGTGAAGAAGCTCAAGAACTGAGATATTTTTGATGGCCAGGAAAAAAAATGAAAAAAACGCATAGTTATAGAATGTAGATGAATGTAGACGAATATAAAACATTATAAAACGTAAAATAATGTTTCCATAGAAAAGAAGTGCACAACAGCACCCATCCAATTAGAGCTTGATCCATCCCTGAAAACCACCAGTCCTGAGTAGAAGGTGCAAGCGGCGTGCCCTGAACTTTTTCCACTCAGAAAGTCGTTGAAAAAAGAGGAGACGGAGAGGTTTGAGATGGTTTGAGTCTGGCGTACACAGTTGAACAATGTTCAACATGGGGTACCAATAAGCCCCCATAAAACTGGCTTGACATGATTCCAATCCATGTTTGCACAATTTCGATTGCCGGGTTGGTAGTTGGTAGAGGGAAACCAATGATCTTTTGCAGTGTCAATTCGATCCATCCGTGGGCCTTCCTGACTCCCTGACTTTAGTTAAAGCCACCGGCAGTTTCAGATGGTTTCATTTAAACCAATTGATACCAATTGCACATATTCATGAACTGGGTCACTCCCCGAGTTACCTAAATTATCATCTCAAAAACCAATCTTTAAAAACTTTAAAAAAACCCATGGGTTTTGGGCACCCGAAGATTTCTCCCCAGATCCGGCCTGCGGCCGCCCAGCACCTGGCGAAAAAAACGTGCAGCAGGGGCCCCTGCACCTGTTGGTTGATTTTACCCACCATAAAAACCCAATCAAAATTGGTCAGATATATCCCATAGGATCCATGGTGCTGCTATATATGGTAACATGATGTAACATGGATCCCATCAATATACCCCAGTCATGTTAGCATATATACCAGCACCATGGATCCGTCATGGGTATTAAGATATTAGTCCACCACCATCAACCCCAGCAAATCAGCAGGATTGCACCAATGGATCCACTGTTTAATTGCTTCGTCAGTACGTACCGCATCAAATCGTTTCAGGGGGGTTTCCAGCACCATGATGCCCAATAGCTGGTTGGTTTATTTCATGGACCATCCATGCCAATCCTATGAAAATACCATGGATTTTATGGCAAATTTTTGCATGACAGCTCCATCTCCGTTTTAACATCGGATCACCAAGTTGATCCAAAGGTGGACCTGCGCACCTTTTTTTTCTGCACCATCTTACGCTCCAGAGCTGGTCTCCTGCGACACGCAACTAATGCATGTTGCTCACGGTGACGGGAGCCTTTTGTGCCAAGCCGTGTTTCTGTTAAACAGGAACACCAAGCGTCATGCTTGTGAATCAATTTCATTGATTGGGACAATGAGACCCGAAGGAAAATGAAGAAAATACATCAGCAGGCCATTGCCGGCAGATGTATATAGCAATATTTGAGTCTGCAGTCACAACGAGTCACAACAGTAGAAAAACGGATTGGAAGGCCTGGTGCCTTTCCTCACCGCTCAGTAAGAACTACAGTAGAACCGTGGAAAAACGGATTGGAAGGCCTGGTGCCTTTCCTCACCGCTCAGTAAGAACTACAGTAGAACAGTAGAAAAACGGATTGGAAGGCCTGGTGCCTTTCCTCACCGCTCAGTGGCACCTAGACCATCCTAGAGTCCTAGATCCATCTCGTAGAAAGGGGTTCTTTTCTACCACTGCCAATCCCAGAGTTCGATTCCAGCCGCGTTCGTGAGCCATTCGAAAGGCAACTTCGCAGAGAAAGCTGCGGTGAAGTAGCTGCAACCTCCTCGGCCTCCTCTCTCTGCCGACTTCCACACAAGGAAACGAAGGAGAACGACGACCTGCCCTTGGAAGACGATGAGGTCCTGGAAGACCGTGAGGTTGGTGATGATGGTTGGGGATTAGTGATCGCCCCAGCATCTAGCAGCATGTTCACCATGGCCTCATTGCCGAGGTCGGAAGCAACTTCAATGGGAAAGACAGGTTTCATCTGGATTGTTTTGGGTCCAACAGACTCATCAAAGTCACGGGGCTGGTTCACATCCGAAAAGCCATGTCGCTCCAAGAAGGAGCTCACCGCCTCATTACGGTACGCCATGGCGCGGTCTGCGTTGCGACTAGACGTCATGTTACTGGCGCGGTGTCGAACGACGTGTCCCAGGGATCTGGCCGGATCTGGGAGTCTGACGGTGCGCCTTGAGCCCAGGTGTACGATGGTGTACGTCCGCAGAAAGGAAATGTGCCTTACCCTCTGGTAATCTGACATAACTATGGAAAATCACCATTTATAGTGAGTTTTCCCATGAAAAATTGTGATTTTTTTATAGAGGGTAGTTCCGCCTCCCCGAAGCAACCCAAGTGACCCGAGCTGGCTTCGGGTGCCCAAGTTGCACAGTCTGACCCTGATCCAGTCTCAGGGCATCCAAATCCCCCATGACCAAATATGACAAAATCAGAAGAATGTGGTAAACCCAATAGTAAACTTAGTAAACCATCCCCAAATGGTGGGTTACTTATTGGGTTGCCCAAATTAATTCGAATATATATTCGAATGATATCTCCGTGGACGCCAAGCTCCTGCGTCCTGCGACATCCCAGCATTGGTCGCTGATTTTTTAAGCCTTCAGCGTCTGTCTTCCGCGTTGACTCAGAACCCTCAGCAGTGAGCCAAGCTTTGCCCCAACGACAGCATGCCCAGATTGCCCAGATCCCATCATCTGCAACGAAAAATTCATGACATCAACTGGGACAAAAATAGATACAAAAAATGGAGGAAAAAAATACCATGTACAACATTGTACAACCCTAAGCTGTCAAGATACAAGACCTGTAACTCCCCCAGGATCTTGTTTACCAGGTTTCAAGTCAGGTTTCAACCTCGAATCATGGACCAAAATAACAATGAGGCCAACCGATTCAAGGGGACAGCGAGCCAACCGTCTCTGGAACTGCTTGGTTGTTTCAACCGGTTCAACCTGTCACTACTAGTATGGAGTTACCCTCTGGTAAACTAACAGTTTGCTATTGAAAATGGCAATTTATAGTGGATTTACCCAGCTATAAAATGGTGGATCTTTCCATAGTTATGTTAGTTTACCAGAGGGTATAGACAAAATCATCGACTTGGATATCTGATGATTCCTGCAGGCACCAACCTGTCCATCTTGAAGATTTAGAAGAATCCTCTGCTGCCGTTGGCACGAAAGGCAAAACTTCGCATGGGAGGACGTCAAGTGACACACACAACAGGGTGCTCAAACGACGCAACATCACCTGCTCACTTCCACGATTTCATTGTATTTCATTGATGTTCTCAAGTGTTCATGCCTTGAAATATCAACATTAAAACCATGATAATAACCTGTAGAAGAAGTCTCACAGCCATCTCCGAACCGCGCCGTTTCGCGCGTCGAGTTTTTGGCAGGTGCATCGTCGAGCGACTTGGGTTTGGAGTGCGGCCGTTTCGCGGCCATAGTGCTGAAAACTCACAGCCATCGAAGGAGGTCAATGGATGTACTAAGGTCATGACATGGTCACTGGTATGGTTTATGGTTACCCTCTGGTAAACTAACATAGCTATGGAAAATCACCATTTTATAGCTGGGTACATCCACTATAAATGGCCATTTTCAATAGCAAACTGTTAGTTTACCAGAGGGTATCCCAGAACGTGAAGCATATACCAATCCGCATATATATCCCGATCTTAATGGATTGATAAATATATTGTATATCATAATCGGAATTTACCTGGAATTAATGGAATTATATGACACTGGGTCGACCCAGGCTTTCGTAAACCCGAAAAACCCCTGCTGAATCATTCTTAAACGAAAAATGTACAGTATAATATATTCAGTTGGAATTGTCAAGACCCTAGAATGGAGCTACTGTACCTCATATAACGCCGGATATGTTCTTGGGATATTCCCTACAGATAAGCCTTATCTTAACGGTAGGTAGCTCCAAGAAATCGAACAAGAAGGAGCTTGGACCTTGGACCTACCCCGGCTGTTTCACATCCCTTTCGAATGTGTTAAGAATGCCAGTAGCTATCAGGATCCGAGACTAATCCAATGTGCAGTCCAGTCATAACTTGACCTTGGAGCTGATCTCTATAATCTTTTTGAATGGATCCTTCAATTTATCGTAACCCTACAACCCAATTATATATCCAATTAGATCATTTGGGATATGACATACTAGTAACATCTAGCATGTGGACTCATTAACCACTTTCTCACTGGGATGCAGCCCCCACGGGTAGAACATCTAGCATGTCGACCCCTAGCCTCACAAGGCATGGCTTCGTGCGTTCTCGCCACCCTGCAACATGTTCTTGGGGAAAAAAAACGTGTTGAAACCACCAATCAGATATGGGCAGGGCACTAATATATATATATATATATACATATACATATATATATATACATATATAATATATATATATATACATATATATATATATATACATATATATACATATACATATATACATATATATATATATATATACATACATATATATGTAATTATATACATTATACCCATGAGTTGGTTCAGAAAAGAGATAGCCGAAGTTTGGGCGGCACTCAGCGATTCAACCGCGTGCATTTGTTATGTCATCCCCTGGAGTGGCCAGTTCTCTCCATAAGTTGACGTCTCGCGCCAATGTCGCTGGAGATGTTCCATGGATTTCCATGGACCCCACATCATGGCCAACATCAATCATATAGCAATATATATAGCAATATATAGCAATACATAGCAGCCAATTTCAATCTTCTTCTGAGAAACCTCAGTTTTTCCCATGTTTTTCTGCCAGATCTGCAATAAGACGGTGGGATCCATGGTGCCGCCCAGTGCGGCAGGGCCAAACCAGGAGAGGTGACACGTTACAGGCTGAGGTGACACTCGTACAGGCTGAGTGCCCCACCGTGGGGCCATCCCTGCAACGGTGGATGGTGAAGGAGTGCTGGCCTTTCCCAATTGGGGGATGTGAATATGGCCATTTATAGTGGATTTTACCAGCTATAAAATGGTGATTTTCCATTAGTTATGTTAGTTTACCAGAGGGTAACTCCAGTAAATTAACATAGACCCTGGCAGATATATAGGGCTTGGAAGATTAGTGAAACCACTAAAAATTGGTCATTTTCAGGGTCGCACTGTGTATTTTCCATAGGGTAAGGTCAAAGATCCCCAGAATCTCAGGTCATGAAATCCACAGGCTGGAAACTTGGGTAGTTGAGGAATGTCACGCTTCGTTGTTCACCAGATAATCATAGATAATCCACATCATTCACCATCATTAACCATGGTTAACCATCATTAACCATCATTAATCATCATTAACCACCAGTCACCATCATTCACCATGGTTAAAACCAGCATATTTTCCCATGGTTAAAACCAGCAGCCCCAATGGATTGCAATTCGACTCGACCGTCCTATAGATACCGTGGATGGTGACGAGAAATTTAGGAAATGTCGACTAGCTACCTGCAAGAATTCGAAATGACCTGGTTTCTTTTGAAGATGCTGTTATATGTTGTAAGTATATATATACATATAATATGCAAATCTATTGAACAGAAGATATACATATAATATGCAAATCTATTGAACATTATACTTGTCGTTTTACATATCTCCATTATCACAATATGCTATATTATGCAGGTATCAGTACCATTGTTATCAATCTTTCCAGGCCTCTCAGC